TGCGTCAGAAAACCTCTAGCATCTGCCAGAAACATTTTTGACGACTGCTTCTTGGAACAAACTTGTTCATAACACTCTCCTCTATAACATATCGAAAGAACGGCAAAAAATAAACAAATCTGATCCACGATAGGTATTCTACAATGTTCATATGTATTTTTTTCTACATTTTCCATACATCAGTTAATGTTTTAATTACTGACATATCTTAAATACTCATCGAATTTTAAAAAAGTTTAGTTTTTCATATAGGGCGAAACGCGCTCTACAAAATGGCACAAAAATTTTTGTTTCATTTAGTGAAGTGCTCTAAACAGTTGGTTTAAGCTTTAATCTTGAACCAGAACGAAATCGAGAATATAAATTCTCATTATATCATTCTGAAACTTAAACTATCAAAACACAAAATCAATCCTTGCACGAAGCTACACTAAACAGTTAGAATCTTGGGTTTTTAAGGAGATTCGCCCGAGCGTTTTAGAAAGTACTTGCGTTATCAAGAGATTTCCTCAGACATAAATCAATAAAACTGATAAAAGAGTCGATCCTGTTCAGCAGCCTATTTCATTCATAAAAAAATATGAAGTTAATATCACAAAAAGAGAGACGAAACAACGAACGACTCAGAGAAGTGAATAAGTAACTTGGGCAATCTCGCAAAATGTACATGTGTATGTTGTTTCTTGTCTTGTACAAGTAATACACGCTTCTCGTGTACATGATGAACATTATCTATTATTATTATGTAGATCTAGCTATATTTATTGTTCAGACAAGTCTCCTCCCAGCTCACAAACAGACAGATCATTAAAAGCGATCACGGATACAATATTTCATGTATTAACACCCAAAATCGACATGTCATTAACAACTACAACTAAAAGAACAATATTAAAACGATCAAGTGGTGAAATAGTCACCGAGGACAATGTTCTGAAACAATTACAAGCCAGAGAGAAACAAGAGGAGGCAAAACAAGCAAAAGCGTCACGGCCGAAAGCTCCAAAGAAATTCAAACGAATGGTTACAACAGGTAATTACACAGCTACTCGAGAGAAAAGTCTAAAATTTACTGCTGTATGTATAAATTCTAGATACCTCTCCTCCTGTTGGCACCACAAACAGTTCAATTTTAATTTTAACAACATACACATGTACATTTTGCGAGATTGCCCAAGTTACTTATTCA